TAGTACCTGGCCCCAGTATTGTGGTATAATCCTGCTCAGGGTTGTTGGTAGAGCCTGGTCCAGGCATTGTGGTATAATCCTGCTCAGGGTTGTTGGTAGAGTCTGGTCCAGGCATTGTGGTATAATCCTGCTCAGAGATGTTGGTAGAGCCTGGTCCAGGCATTGTGGTATAATCCTGCTCAGGGATGTTGGTAGAGCCTGGTCCAGGCATTGTGGTATAATCCGGCTCAGGGACGACAGTACAGCCTGGCTCAGGCACTTTGGTATTGCATGGCTTCAGAATCTTGTTTTTTCCTGGTTGTGGAACATCTGTGCGGCATGGCTCCGTGGTGGTGGTTATGGGAACAGATTGTCCTTGTGGTGGAGGCTGACAAGGTTGCTTCACTTGATGCTGTTGAGGCTGAGGACGTGCGACAAAGGGCTGCTTCTGCTGGTGGGAACTCATGCTTCAAAGGATGCTGACCCTAGAGAGACAGGACAACTGATTGGGTAGTTTTGAAGGAATTGGTAGAATCCTAATTTTTTTCCTTTGCTTTTCTCCTATAAATTAAAGACTCTTCTATTTTCCTGAGCTGGATGGAAATCATAGGTTGCTTTTATAGTTGTTACTTATTTTTTGGTTGTGAGCCTAGCCTTTAACGGCTGAGCCATCTCTCCAGCCCATGTTACTTATTTTTAAGGCAAAACATTAAGGTGATTTGATCATCTCTGAATAATAAATAAATGGTTATAGTCAATTTCATTTTAAAGCAGACTTCACATTCATCAGAGTTACAGATCTCAGAGAACACTCTCTCCTCTGGCTGGCAGTTGGTAACTACTTGTCTGGAAGATAGATAGTTACAGGCAGTTTGCTTTGTGACTGAGCTCATAAGCAGAAAAAGGGGCAGCTGCCAGCTGCAAATTTTTCATTAGGTAAGGCTCTATGTACTAAACAAAATGGATAGCGAATTTAGGGAGGAGGCAAGCCTTGACTTATTGGAAGAAAGGTCAGGAATTTCTCAAGATGTTGTTTTGTAACTAGTCCAGCACTGTGGACACCTTGGTCTTCTCTCTCTGCTGGCATCCCTCTCTGCAAAATGGTACATTAAAAACTGCTTCTTCTCCATTAGTCTCTTGAATTTGTTATTTTGTTTTTTACAACTGTGTGTGAGCAGAGCCCCTTTTTAATTTTTTTCTCCTTGGTTTTTTTTTTTTTTAACCTATGTACAGACCATGAACAGAATAGAAGAACTCAAACCATCAGTAAGCTCCTAGGCCTCCTGTGAACCTCTAGGTTTTCAAAAATTTTAGAGAATAGTAGGACAAAAACATCTAGAGTGAAACTCTCATAGGAAGGCTCCTTGTGAACCTCCCCTCATGCTTGCAAGATTCACATTTGAGCCCCAAATCACATTTTCCTTCTACATTTGTCTATTATGAGTTCTCACTGCACTGCTACTTGCTCATTCTGGCTCCCCCATCATGGCCTCCCACCCCAGGCCTCTGCCAGTTTCCATGTCTTCTTCATTCTTTTGTCCTAGCAAGAATCTGACTCTCCCATTTCCAGTAAACCCTGTATTATATTCATGGTTCATGGAGCAAAGAAGATTTTTGAGATTTGAGCATCCAAATGCATAGAGCAGTGCCGTTGATGATAAAAATTCTCAATAAGATTAGAAGGCGCTGAAGTGCCTGGCCAGCTTGTCTCACCCACAACTTCCTGTTAGCCTAATGCTACTCTTTACGTCCCCCCACTTCTGATCCTTATATTACAGCTGTAATTTGAGAGGTAAGTGAAAACATCTGCAGTGAAAATAAAGTGGACAAATATTTAGGTTGTCAAGCATTCCCAACCAAGATCAGTATCACACAGTGACTATTAGAAAGTTCAAAGTGGAGAGTCTTACCTCAGATGATGAAGCTCTCTGGACTCCTGGATCTTTTGAGAGATCTCTAGACAGCTGTATTTTTATACAGAAAATGAGCCCTTCCTTAAGGAAGTGGATTTTTGGAGTTGCTCTGCCCTCATTCCAACTTTTGTGAATGAAAATCCGTGGCTTAACATTTTATTCATGCGTACTGTCTGATGGTGATGTCACCTGACCTGACTCCACTGTCCACCCTTATGGTGTGGCTTCTGTGATGGGGATCAGGCTTCTTGGGAGGGGATGTATTATGTCAAAAGGAAGTGCTAGATGCCTTGGGTCAGAAACAACCCTATTCATTAATCCAGTTCAAATTTCAGAATTTGCAGTAGATGTAGAAGTATTTCTAGTTCTTCTGGAAGTTCATAGGAAAATGACAATGAAGAACTATGTATTAGTGAAGTCATGCTGGTGAGGAGAAATAGGAGGCTAAAAGTATGAGAGTTTTGGAAATTAGTTCTTTTCATTGTGGAGGGAGCCCTTCAAACAACAGGCTGACTTTAAAAAAAAATTAAATTGAAAACTTCTAATTACCCTATAATAATATGCACCTTCAAAACAAAGTGATGTTTTGCTTCATGCAAATTTTGTATGAAAATCAAATCAAGGTTATTAGTATATGTAGCACTTCAGACTTTTTATTTCTTCTTCAGGGCAAATGTATTCAAAATCCTCTCAGCCATTTTGAAATATGCTATGCATTGTGGTTCACTTATTTACCCCATGATATCATTAAACACCCCATCCCTACTCCTCTTTCCAGCCTCTGACAACCATAATATTACCTTCAGCTTCCATAAAACCATGCATTTCTAGATCCTACATATGAGCAAGCTCATGTAATATTTGTCTTTCCCATTTTACTCACCACAGTGATCTCTAGTTCCATCCATATTGTCACAAATGAAAGGATTCTATCCTTTGTTATGGCCAAATATGATCCCATTGTGTATGTATACCCCATTTCCATTATCCATTAATTGCAAATAGGGCTGCAATAAACTTTGGAGTTCAGGAGTTCCTTTAACATATTGATTAATTTCCTAGTGGTGGGATTGCAGGCTTGTAAAGTAGTTTTTCCTTCCAGCCTTTTCTGTTTCTGTAAAAGCTGTACTGCCAGGCGGTGGTGGCACACACCTTTAATCCCAGCACTTGGGAGGCAGAGCCAGGCGGATCTCTGTGAGTTCAAGGCCAGCCTGGGCTACAGAGTGAGTTCCAGGAAAGGCGCAAAGCTACACAGAGAAACCCTGTCTCAAAAAACAAAACAAAATAAAACAAACAAAAAAACAAAACAACAACAACAATAAAAGCTTACATTCTCACCAATAGTGTGCTTCGCTTCCTCTGTATCCTGGCCAGAGTGTGTTGATTTTGCCTTGTTGATAATAACCACTCTTACCAGGTGATGTGCTATTTCCTTGCAGTTTTGATTTGAGTTTCTCTGATGGTTATGGATGCTGAACTTTTTCTTTTGAATGTATCTATTCATATCTTCATTTGAGAAATTCAGTACTTTATCCTATAGTTTTATTGGGTTATTAGGTCATTTCTTTCTATTGAGTGATTTTAGTTCCTTATATAGTATAGATATTACATCCTATCAGATACTCAGTTTAAAAGTGTTTTTTTTTTTTTTTAAATTCTGAAGTTATCACTTAGCACTGGTGCTTTTTCATTTCATTTTACCCTGCAGAAGCTTTTGAGCTTCATTTAATCCCATTTGTCAACTTGGGCTTTTGTTGTTTATGTTCTGTGTGATATCCAAAATTGTTTGCCCAGGGCAATGTCTTGAAGAATTTCCCACGCTTTCTTCCAGTAGTTACAGCAGTTTCCACCGTGTATTTAAGTCCTTTAGTCCATTCACAGTTGACCTCTGTGACAGTGAGGCATAGACAGTCTGGTGTAATTCCTCAGCCTATGTGACTGTCTGCACAGCACCGTTCAGCGTTTATTGAGGAGCCTGCCCCTGCAGTGTCGTGCTCTCTGCTCCTGTGATCAGTGCAGTTGGTTGTAAATGCATGGGGTTTATTTCTGAGCTTTCTACTGTTACACTGGTCAATGAGTATGGGCTTATGCCAGTATCGTGCTGTCTTAGTCTCTGCAGATTTGTAGTGTGTTTTCAAGTCAAATACTGTGATGCCTTCAGTTTAGTTTTCAAGATAGATTTGACTATTTGGGGGACTCCTGTGGTTTCTTACAAATTTCAGGATTTTTGGCATTCCAATATTTTGATATTTTCATAGGCATTGCATGGATGTTTTAACATGATAGATGCCTCCAACCCATGGGTATGGACTATCTTTCCACGTGTTTGTATCCTCTTCAAGTTCTTCTACAAGTGTCTTCATTGTAGACATTTTTCATCCTATTAAGTTTATTAATAGATATTTTATTATTGAAGGTATTCTAAATGGGTTTGTCCTTGTAATTCTTTTTTATAGAATGTGTGCTATATGTATGTGGAAAAGTTATGTTAGTTTTATTTTTTATACCGTTACAGAATTGTCTATTAGCTTCAGCATTTTTTTGTGACCTCCATATAGTTGTCTACATATGAGCGGCTATGATTTTTTGTCCTTATATTTCTTACATCAGTGTAACTTATTTTAGGAGACAATCACATTTCTGGGCTTGCAGGTGTTTTTTGAAACCTGTAGATAGAAACTCACTGTGTAGTCTACCCTAGATTCTGCTGAGTCCAGTATGCAATGCCCTGGCCAGGCACACCTTGCTTTCAGGGTCTCCAGCAACATGAACTGCTGAACTCAGATGGAACATTGGGCTCTGTTCTGCTGCCTGGAAAAGACACTGGTTGAACACTGCAAGTAATTGGAGCTGCTGGATACTGAAGTTGTCTTTATCCATTGGGCCACTTTATTAGTTACTGTTCTCATCGCTGAGGCCCAGTGCTGAACAGAAACAAAGGAGGGCCAGTTTATTTTGGATCTTGTCTCTTAAACATTGTAGCACAGAAGACACAGAAGCCAGGGATTGCTCTGTTGTGGTGTGCTTTGTTAACATCTCAGTAGATCAGGATGCAGAGAGCCAAACCAGAAGAGGGGCAAACACATGATACTCAGAGCGATCTATCTGTGTGGCCCTATATCTGCCAGCTAGGCCCAATGTCCAAAGGGCTCCACAGTCTCTGAAGATAGCCACCTTTTCAGAACCCAGTGTTCCACAAATGAGCCTCTAGGGATATTTCACATTTAAGCCATAATAGCTGTGGAATGTATTTCTTTACCAACAGATACCACTACTGGAGTCTGGCAGTTAAAAGGAGTTAATGGGGGTGGGGTGGGGGTATGGTTCCATGGCTCAGGATGAATAAGTCAACTGCTATTCGATAAAAGGCTGGGGCAAGTGTTGACTAAACGCTTTGGTATAACAAAAGTAACTCTTAAATTTTGTTATTATCTAAAGCTTGGATTGCTCTCTGTGTAACCTGAAGCTGGAAAAAACCTCTCAGGTAATGGCCTATTAGCTGTTAAAATGTATCATGAGGGTCCTTTCCTTCCTTGGGTGGGCCACTGCTTATGGAGTGAGGCCGCACCTGGAGACTGACTGGCTATATAAGAATTCAGTTACCACTCCAAGTGTTCTGGGAGTGACTAAATCAGCATTGCAGGTGTGACATGCTCTTAGCTGAAATCTCTTCCTCGGTGGTGTTGCTGAAGGAATGCTGTGCCGCCACTAAAATCTGCAACTTGTTTTTGTGACTTCTGCCTCCTTACTTTATTTCTCTTTTGTACCATGTGTTCTAATCATTCTGTTTATTCCTGCTTTCTGCTTGAGGAGAGACAAGAGTGGGATTTCTATGAATCACCCCAGAATGCTAAGGAAGCTGAGTACTTCACCCTAGTCTGAGGGCTCTGAATATTTTTCTCTGTGTCATGGTGTGCTGAGTTCTTAGACAGAGAAGTGTGACATTCACTACATACCATGTTCACCATGGTTTATAGATGTCACTAAGAGTGGACAGTGAAGATTACCCAGATGACTCATAGGATTAAACAATACTGGAGGTCATCACTGTAGTGTTGTCAGCCTTCTCTTATGTGACCCAGAAACAAGAAAGGCTCTGATTCTATGAGTTTTTAGTCCACACATTTCCTCTGATCACAGTAGAATGAACCTTAGGTTTCTACTCCACAGTTGCCCTCTATACACAATCTCTGACTAGACACTGCCTTAAAAGCCTGTAGATCCACAAAACTCTGCCTTCTCCACTATGTTACCTCCCATGAACCTGATTCTCCCGGCTCAGTCACCATCTCCAGCTCCTTCCATGCATCTTTCAAAGCCACTTTATTCTCACACTCTCTTGTCATGGTTGGTGCTCAGTCAGTGCACTGTTATTTTTATAAACAGAACCATAGCTTTAGGGAGGAGAGAGGGGTGGGTGGGTGGAGAGATGGAAGGACAAGAACTATGAAGACAAGGAAGAGGAGAAAGGAAGGAAGGAAACAATGAAAGACAGCACTCCCTACTTAAAGGTAGGCTGTTGGAAATGATTCACTGTCTTGTAAGATAGTTATAGGATGACCTGAGAAGGTATGGATGTTTCAACTGCTTTCCCTACCATCCCTTCTCTCTCTCCTAGTTAGTATCCAGCCAGCCATCTCCCTCTGGGCAGTACCAGAACCACATTACCCACAAACGTCAGTCTCCGATATCAATTAGGTCTCATTGAGGGTTCAGTTCAGGTTCTTTCCTCACAAACCACCTCCAAGGAACTTACTCACAGGGAGCTCCAGCCAGATGTGCTGTCAGTGGGGCTTTTTGCCTGTTCCTCTGTCCTCTATCTCATTTCCCATGAGTTTGCTGGGACCTGTTTGTGAATTGCAGTGAGTTTCTTTATGTGCACTTCTCATCTGGTATTCAGTTTGGAAAATGTCTCCTGTGCATCCCCATTCTGATTCATAGCTAGTCCTTTCCTGCTGTTTTCCTGTCTTCATTGTTTTAGAGTTATTTGATGATACATTCTGAGGTCTCCACGGCTTTTGGGGGGCATGTGTGGAAACTTGAAGTACAGGGTAGTTAATTCTCAAAGGCCCCAGGTTGTTAGTGGAATTCTGGTGCTGATGGGAAGTATTTTCTGCTATTATCACCAGGGCAACCCCTGAGACATATTTCCTATACATTTTCAGAAGGCTGCCTGTGAGCGAGACCCAGGTTCTCTTGGTATTTGATGATCTTCATGTTTTCATCTTTCATTTAATTAGTTTATTTTTATAAAATATTTATATTTTATTTTAGATTTTATACATGCATATATGTGCATACCTGAATGCTGGTACCCATGGAGGCCAGAGGCATCAGATCCTCATGGGGCTGGAGTTACAGGAGGTCTTAAGAAATCTCACATGGGTGCCAAGAATCAAACTCTGGTCCTCTGTAAGAACAATGAGACCTCTTAAGTTTGGAGCCATCTCTCTAGCCTGCTCTTAACTAATTTTGTTCCTTCTTATTCCATCCCTCCCTTAATACATTTGAAACTAATCTATATATTCATAAAACTTTGTTTAAGATTAAGAGTAGTCTAGGCCAAGGCTAAGACTTCTAATGTGCATTATTTTATTTGGAATGAAGGGGGTGAGCATACATAAATTTCCAGTGATATAAATCAATACTTACTCCAGATTTAGACGAACGTTGCCTGATAGATCAGCATAAATGTTTGGAGTTGATCTACAGGTTTCTCTAGAGGCTGTGAAACTAGAATTTCGAGTAGAGTAGAGCATTGTGAGTTCCCAGTTGTTGAGTTTATTCATTTTCTGGTATATTTGTCATACACTGCGACATTTATGGTACATGACTGTGAAGAGACAGAGATAAAGATCAGCAAAGGAAATGAGTGCAAAGGGTGGAATCCAGAATGATCCAGGTATGAGTTGCCACTTAATTGTTCTCCATTGCAATCACATGGGCAGCTCCTAATTCTCTCGGCCATAGTGAGTGAAAACTCATACAGTGTGTTTCCAGGAAAGGTCACTAAGCTTTGGTGTACTTGATTTCTACTGAAACTGATTAGATACTCGTTCTAAAGTCCTTCCAGAAACCAAATTGATACAAACATTGTGGAGGCTTCCAAGTGAACAATAAAAGGCATTCAATATATATCATTAGCACAAACTATATGTGGTAGACCAAGATGCTAAATATGCCAAAAATCACTATTACTAGGCAAGATAGTTCAAATGATCAGAGTTCATCTCCTAGGACTCACTAATCTCATTAGGACAACTATGTCTGAAATATGGCAAAGTCAATCAGGGCTAAGAGTGATTTAAAGAAATAAATGTTATACCTTACAGAGCCACAGCAGATGTTTTAAAACTTTCATGCTAATGATCGTTTGTTCATGCTTTCCCTGCCATTTTTACAGCCCTGGCATACACATGCTCATGGAGATAAGCTGTTGATTGTCTAAATCTAGTTATTTCTCAGATCTGTAACTTTCCAATAATATAGCATCCTGAACCCTTTAACTACACTTCCCAATATGTTGGATCATCAGTGTTAGTATTATAATATGCTTTATTTGCATAGGATATTTGACACCAAAAATGTCAGTGTCACAATATTTTGTTGTATGATAGTAGAGAACAGTTTTTTTTTATCATAGAACCAATGGATAATTATACATTTCAATTTTTATTTTATGAACCCTTAATTCCCTTGGTAATGTCTAGTGTTATCATATCCAGTTAACACCATGCTAGATGCTGTCAGTAGTTAAATTTAATAAAAGGGAAATAAATAAAAACCTAAAAGTTAAAAAAATTATTCACAATGACATGATCTTGAACATGAAAACATTGTAAGTTGGAAGCTTATTTTGGTGGACTTTTGTCCTGAGCTCACCTCCACTGTTCAAGAGAAGAGTAGTCCATTCCTTAATGCCAGTAATTTCCTTATGAGTTGCAGCCTCTTTAAGCACAAGCCTTGGCTGTAACATTTGCTTCTTTCCTAGTCTTCTTTTCCTTACCAAACTGTATATTTTTTTTTCCTGTCCCGCTAATACTTTTCTATTGCAGATCCTTGTAAGAGTTATCAATAACCATTCTACAGGCTCAATGTTATGCTGTCTTAAAATTTCTTCCAACAAAGAAGTCATTCTATTAATTTTTGATTCAGCCTCAGGCAAGTACTTAGGACTCAGGCAGAGGCAGCCAGAGTATTTGCCAAAAATATTAGAAGTATGTCCTCTAGCCCAGTTGTTAATAATTTCTCTGTCTGAAACCTGATAAGTGCCATATTCTAAAAACTCCATAACCACCTCAAACAATACCATAAATTTGAGAATAATATTCAAATATGTGAACCTATGGGGGACATATCTCATGCAAACTACCAAGAATATACATGATAACTCCTAATTATCCCATATTAAGTGACTGCATTAGCTTGGCCAAGTCTGTGATGTTTGATTCTCAATGAGGGAGAAAGAAAAAAATTCGAAGAGGAATGATGGAGGAGAGCCTTTTAAATTTCTTGATAGCCACTTCAGCCAGATTGCATGTGACTTTTAATATACAACAATGTTGCCAAAATTTGTTTATGCTACCATGGATAGAAACAGCCACCAGTGATCTCCAGCCTTCGGGATCCACCATGGATCTCGAAGTTGCTCAAAAATCAATGAGCCACCATGGACATAAGGCAAAATGGACAGAATTAAAGAAAGAAAAAAGTTGCTCAAAAATCAAAGCTACCTATCATGACACTGGATGTCATGGATGGATGTTGTTGTTGTAGTAAGAGCAGAAATAGACTAAAAATAATCAAAACTTAGTGTTTAAGCCTTTAGTGTAGAAGCAGCAGATGTAGACAGACTCCAGAACTGTAAACTAGTTTATCAAGCATAGTTTACCAATGTAACTGTACATTTTAAAGAGACAGGGTTCTTGTATGCCTCTGAGATCTCCCCAAAATAAGTGTATAGACAATTAGTAAAGCGAGTACTACTTTAAGAATCATTTGTAACTCCCCCTTTTGTTTTTTGTTTTCTTTGTCTGTGATTTGTGCACACAATTAAAGATATAATGGGAAAGGAGTGGGATGAAATTGTAAATAAATAGTTTTTGTAGGTTACTGAAGTACACTGAAGTGTACTGTAGGTTACACTAGAGTGTAATTTTGTGATGTTGTATGTAGACCCCATGTCAACTACAAAGGAAATACAGCAGTAGAATATACACAAAAGGAGGCGAGGAAAATATGATGATCTAAGTAAGAAGTCAATTAACAAGACAAGAATGCAGAAAATAAACTACAAATAGCAAGACCACATACAAAAGAAAAAGTGAGACGACGGAAGTTGGCTCTCCCCTATCTGCAATTTCTCTGATTGTGAACAGATTGACTTTCTCAACTAACAGAGTGTAAGTAGAGAAACATGATGTAACCCTCTGTGTCCAGAGAAGATCCACTTTAGATCCAAAGGTTCAAACAGGTTGAAAAGAATGGAAAACATTAACAAAGACTTTTGTTTGGCTCATACAAATAGATTTTAAACATAGATTTATCAAACAAAATAAGGACAAAGTGGGATGGTGCATATTAACAAAAAGATCTAACAGTATCAATATGATACGATGATAAGAATATTATATGCCTGATGTTGGGCCACCATGGACATAAGACAAAATGGACAGAATTAAAGAAAGAAATAGACAAGTATCTAGTAATAGGTAGGTATTATATCATATCTAACTCTTACTCTGGATAAAATTAAAAAGTAAGATAAGGATACAGAGGACATGAACAAAACAATTAAGTTGATTTAACAGACACGTACAGAGCAAATTTATATGATGACAGAATATTTATTGTTCTTAAGTGTATGTGAATGTTTCCTAGAACAGAACATATTTTAGACCACAAATTAAATAGTTTTTTGTATGTATGTATGTGTGGCGTGTCTATATAGATGTGTTTTCATATGTGCAGGTATATGTGGACACCAGATAAAGACTAGACAACTACAGACTACTAATGAACATTAATATAAATATCTTCAGCAAAATATCAGTAAACATGATTTGATAACATATTCTAAGGACTATATGCCATGACCAAGTAGGATTCGTTTCTAGAATGTAGAGATGAAAATTGATTAATGGAATACACTACATATATTAACACAGAACAAAACCCAAATAAATTTCCTTTGCACACAAACAAATTGAAAAAAATCAACATCTTTTCTTGATAAAACACACAACAAATTAGGACTAGAAGAAAATTATATCAACATTAATATATGATAATAAAAATATTTTAAGAATCCAGAGTCTTATATGAAATGCCAGAGCTAGCATGCTACTCAGTAATGAAGAGTGAAAGTTTGAAAAGGTTTCCTCTGAGATGAGACACAATGCCTGATTTTGTCATTCCTGTTTAATATACCAGTAGAAGTTGTAGTCAGAACATTTAGAAAAGATATATCATTACCTAAACCAAAAAACAAGAGATAAAGTTAAGTACTAAATCAGAAAAATCAACTGTCCAAACTAAAAGGCCTTGGGCTGCCAGCTGTAAGGGTTTGTTGGAATATCTGAAGTCCTTTAACAGAAGACTGGGAATTGGGAGGGAGCACTGTGAGCATTCTTAGTAGGGAAGCATAGGCTATACTACTGGACTGTGTGTTCATCTGGATCTTTGCAGAACCTAAGAACATTCTGGATGGATAGGAGATATGTTTCTTCCAGTCTAGCAACATCATCTTTGCTGGACTCTGAATTTTTAATACTAAAATTAAGCAACTTTATGTAATGAGGGAAGCACAAAGCTATTAAAAATAAATATTATCAGAGACAACTTTCATCTTGCTTTGTTTGGTGTCAGAAATTTTTGTATAAGCCATATGTATGCACACATTGTTTACATGTTGGTGTTTTTCATACATCTTTCTTAAAGCCTGCATTTTTTATATGATCTAAACATTTTCTGTGTGATTAAAATTTCTTTCATGACAATCTTTTAAGTAAGAATGTAACATTCTTTTTTGGCAGGTGGTTCCTGTATGACATGTAACCAACCTAGATTCCATTGGCAATAACAGACCTGCATGGCAGCTGTCTGAAGAGATTGTCCAACAAAGTAATGGGTCATTGGCATACTGGCAGAGAGAATGACATCATCTATTCTGTAGGGAGGTACATGTTGAGGTAGGTCCGTATCATTGCTTATTTCAGTGATGAAAGAGTCCACAGCCCCAAGATGACTCGAGGATTTATCATAGTTAAGTAGTCTGGTTCAGTGTGGGGAAATAGTATTTAAAGTGCACAGCTATAATATTATGAATATGGGTGACTCTAAACATCAAAAAGGGGGATTTGTCTAGAGGTTATCTTTAACTCTCACCCCTGATATTTTACAGCTTAATGACTTACTGTTCACTAAATTCAAAGTTGATTATCAGCCTGGGGTGGATCAAATATCCTCACTCTTATAATCACTGCTAAAGATTACCCCTATTTTATTATTTAATTTTGTCTTTTAATAATATTTGTATTAATTCTCTGACAATTCAGACATGTAATCAATGCATTTTTATCATACTCACTGTGTTTCCCATTCCTCCAACTCCTATCTACTCTTCCAGAAGCATTCCACACCTTTCCCCAACTTCATGTTCTATCTTCTTTCTTTCCATCTATCTATCTATCATCTATCTATCTATCTATCTATCTATCTATCTATCTATCTATCTATCTATCATCTATCTATCTATCTATCTATCTATCTATCTA